CCCTACCTAGGCTCTGCCTAGAAGGGTTCTTACTCTCTTTGCTTAAAGGGCCGGGCAATGGAAACCGCCCCCGGCGGTTCCCCCAGTCCCCGCCCCGCGGTTCCCCCAGTCCCCTGGGAGCTTTAGCCTTAGCTTTAGCTTTAGCTTAGCTTTAGCTTAGCTTTAGCTTTAGCTTTAGCTTAGCTTTAGCTTAGCTTTAGCTTAGCTTTAGCTTAGCTTTAGCTTAGTGTTAGCTTAGCTTTAGCTTGGCTTTAGCTTAGCTTTAGCTTAGCTTTAGCTTAGCTTCAGCTTAGTGTTAGCTTAGCTTTAGCTTAGCTGTAGCTTAGTTTTAGCTTAGATTCAACTTAGCTTTAGCTTAGACTTAGCTTAGTGTTAGCTTAGCCTTAGCTTAGCTTTAGCTTAGCTTTAGCTTAGCTTTAGCTTAGCTTCAGCTTAGCTTTAGCTTAGCTTTAGCTGAGCTTTAGCTGAGCTTTAGCTTAGCGTCAGCTTAGTGTTAGCTTAGCTTTAGCTTTGCTTTAGCTCAGCTTTAGCTTAGTTTCAGCTTAGCTTCAGCTTAGTGAAAGCTTAGCGTTAGCTTAGTGTTAGCTTAGCTTTAGCTTAGCTATAGCTTAGCTATAGCTTAGCTTTAGCTTAGCTTCAGCTTAGCTTTAGCTTAGCTTTAGCTTAGCTTTAGCTTAGCTTTAGCTTAGCTGTAGCTTAGCTTTAGCTTAGCTACAGCTTAGCTCTAGCTTAGCTTTAGCTTAGCTTCAGCTTAGCTTTAGCTTAGCTTTTGCTTAGCTTATGCTTAGCCTTAGCTTAGCTTAGCTGTCGCTTAGCTTCAGCTTAGCTTTAGCTTAGCTTTAGCTTAGCTTCAGCTTAGCTGTAGCTTAGCTTTAGTTTATCGTTAGCTTTAGCTTTAGCTTTAGCTTAGCTTTAGCTTAGTGTTAGCTTAGCTTTAGCTTAGCTTTAGCTTAGCTTCAGCTTAGCTTTAGCTTAGCTTTAGCTTAGTGTTAGCTTAGCTTTAGCTTAGCTTTAGCTTAGCTTTAGCTTAGCTTCAGCTTAGCTTAAGCTTAGCTTTAGCTTAGCTTTATCTTAGCTTTACTGTTACTACTAATGCTGCTTTCCTAAGGGCTCCAACTCCTAGGTAGGGTCGCACTGGGATAATTGTGTTGTTTCAAGCCTTCCCCGAAGACACAACAAACCATCACCATCACCACTCTCATCACCATCATCAGCACCATCACCAGCATCACCACCATCACCGGCATCATCGCCATCATCACCAGCACCACCGTCATCACCATCATCACCATCACCACTTTCATCATCAGCACCATCATCCCCGTCATCATCCTCATGCTCATCTTCATCCTCATCCCCACCACCACCATCACCATCACCAGTATCCCATCCTTACCATCATCGCCATCATCACCGTCATCATCACCATCACTACCACCACCATCATCACCACCATCACCGTTATCATCACCATCATCACCAACATCCTCATCCCCATCGTCATCCCCATACTCATCCTCCCCACAATCATCACCATCATCACCGTCATAATCATCATCATGATCATCACCATCATCAGCTTCATCAACACCATCAGCACCATCATAACCGTGATCACCCATATCATCACGATCATCACCACCATTCCCACCATCACCGTCATCATCACCCTCGTCACCACCATCACCGTCATCACTATCATCACCATCATCAACCTCGCCACCGTCATCATCGTCCTCGTATCAGTCTCACCATCATCATCATCATCAGCTTCATCGTCAGGTTCATCATCACCTTCATCATCATCCTCATCCCCATCCTCATCATCCTCACCATCATCGTCACATACATCACCATCATCACCGTCATCAGTACCACCACCATCATCACAACCATCACCGTGACCATCACCATCATCAATCATCACCATCATCACCATCATCACCATCATCATCACTGGCGTCATCATCGTCATCACTGTCATCACCGTCGGCATCATCATCAGACTCATCATCACCATCATCACCATCATCACCGTCATCATCATCATCATCATCATCATCATCATCATCATCATCATCATCTCCATCATCACAACCATACCCGTCATCACCAACATCATCCAACCATCATCACCATCATCACCACTACCATCCTCACCACCAACCTGACCACCATCATCATTACCATCCTCACCATCATCATCAGCAGCAGCATCACCATCAGCTTCATCATCATCCTCATCCTCATCCTCATCCTCATCCTCACCACCATCATCACCATCATCACCATCATCATCACCACCATCATCACAACCATCTCCGTCATCATCACCATCATCCATCATCGCCGTCATCACCATCATTAACGTCGTCGATACCGTCATCACTATAATCACCGTCACCATCATCACCATCATCCTCATACTCTTCATCACCATCACCACCATCATCACCATCATCACAGTCATCATGATCATCACCATCATCATTAGCATCACCGTCATCGTCACCACCGTCACAATCATCACCACCATCACCGTCATCATCACCACCATGATCACAACAATCACCGTCATCATCACCATCATCCATCATCGCTGCTATCACCATCATTCACGTCGTCGATATCATCATCGTCATCACCATCAGCATCATCATCGTACTCACCATCACCATCATCACCATTATCACAGTCTTCATCATCACCACCATCATCACAACCATCACCGTCACCATCACTACCATCCATCATCACCATCATCACAATCATCACCATCACCATCCTCATCACTATGCTGACCACCATCATCATCACCATCCTCACCATCATCGTCATCATCAGCAGCATCATCGTCATCATCTTTTTCCTCATCCTCATCCCCATCATCACTAACGTCATGCCTACCATCATCACCGTCATCATCATTACCACCATCATCAGCACCATCACCGTCATCATCACCATCATCACCACCATCACCGTCATCACCATCATCACCATTATCACAATTATCCTCGCCATCATGACCATCAGCCTCATCATCACCGTCATCATCCTCATCCTCATCCTCATCCCCACCATCACCACCACCATCACCATCATCAACATCTTTTCCATCATCGCCATCATCACCGTCATCATCACCGTCAGCACCACCACCATCATCATCATCACCACCATCATCATCACCATCATCACCATCACAATCATCATCCCCATCGTCATCCCCATCCTCATCCTCCCCACAATCATCACGAGCATCACCGTCATCATCATCATCATCACCATCATCAGCTTTGTCCTCATCATCACAATCAGCACCATCATAACCATCATCACCCTTATCATCACTCTCATCACAATCATCCCGACCGTCACCGTCATCATCACCCTCATCACCACCATCCGGGTCATCACTATCATCATCATAATCCTCAGCCACCATCATCATCATCGTTCTCATACCAGTCTCACCATCATCACCACCTTCATCGTCAGCTTCATCAACACCTCATCACCTCATCCGCAATATCATCCTCACCATCATCATCACCATCATCACCATCATCACAATCATCATCAGCACCATCAGGATAACCATAACGGTCACCATCACCATCATCCATCATCACCATCATCACCATCATCACCATCATCACCGTCGTCAACACCGTCATGACTATCATCACCGCCATCATAAAAATAAGTATCATCATCATCATCATACTCACCATCACCATCAACACCATCATCACCGTTGTCATCATCGACACCAGCATCACAACCATAACATTCATCATCTACATCATCCAACCATCATCACCATCATCACAATCATCAGCATCACCATCCTCATCACCATCCTGACCACCATCGTCATCATCTTCATCAGCAGCATCATCATCACCTTCATCCTCATCCTCATCCCCATCCTTATCATCATCCTCACCACAATCATCACCATCATCACCATCATCATAGCCAGAATCACAACCATCACCGTCATCAACACCATCATCTATCATCGCCATCATCACCATCATTACCGTCGTCAACACCGTCATCACTATCATCACCGTCATAATCATCATCATCATCATCAGCATCGCTATCATCATTATCACCACCATCATCACAGTCATCATCATCACCACCATCGTCACAACCATCACCGTCACCACCATCATCATCCATCATCACCATCATCACCATCATCACCCTCACCATCCTTATCACCATCCTGACCACCATCATCTTCACCATCCTCACCATCATAATCATCATCATCAGCATCATCATCATCCTCATCCTTATCCTCATCCCCATCATGACCATCATCACCATCATCCTCACCATCATCACCATCATCACCACCATCATCATCATCGTCAGCACTATCACCGACATCATCACCAACATCACCGACATCATCGCCATCACAATCACCACCATCATCATCCTCATTACCCTCACCATCATCATTATCATCATGATCATCAGCTTCATTATTACAGTCATCATCCGCATCCTCATCCTCATCACCATCATTACCATCATTACCGTCATTTCCATCCTTACCATCATCAGCATCATCACCGTCATCACCACCATCATCATCGCCACCATCACCGATATCATCACCATCATCACCACCATCCTCATCCTCATCGTCATCGTCATCCCCATTATCATCCCCATTCTCACAGTCATCACGGTCATCATCATCCACTTCCACCGCCATCGCCATCAGCAACGCCATCCTCCACCCTCCGCCGCGGGGTGGCCTCTGGCCGCGGCGGAGGCCACGCCGGCGCGCAGCGCGCCCCGCCCGATCATGGGAGGGCCGGGAGGCCCCAGGCGGAGGGCGGCGGCGCGGTGCACGCGAGGACGGGCCGTCAAAAAAGGCGAAGAGCACGGGGAGCACAGCGGGCTCGCGTCTTGAAAGAATCAAGACGCCAGGTTTTTGTTGACAGTTTCGGCCTCCAGGGGCGGCCCGG